AAAACAAAAGACATTAACTTTGACACTGAAAAAGACAGATCTCAAATTTCCTAGCCGATCTTGCTTTCTGTGATCATTAACTACATCATGTTTATAGAACTGCCAGGCATAATGAGCTAGTGATTTTATTTCATCGGATTTTAGAATGCAGAAAACATTTCGGCCCCGCTCATAGCACCATATGTGTATCTTCAAGGATATGTACGTATGATGATGACTTTAAGTACCTTATATTGCCTTTCTTGTTACCTCTGCCTTATGAGAGCTACTGCTGTGAACCTCATTAAGGAAAGCCTGAAATTGCAAAACTGAAATTTTTCATACCACTGTCATTCCGTAGCACCTCTTTTGCACTTAGACGTTTGTGGCGGAGTATTTTTCTGCTCCCTAGAAATGATCAAAGTTGAAGGGGAAAAAAACCTCTTCTAATAAATACAGTCCACATCTCACACTTATCTGAACAATGGCCACCTTCTTAGCCCACACCAATCCATCTTCTCATACTGACTCAGGGTCCTCACCACCGACAACCCACCGCTGAAGTCAGGGTTCTCAGCACACATTCTCTCTCCTCCCCATTCCTTGTTGTTTCTGACCTACTTTTGTCCGATGCTTCCTGCCAGCCTCTTCACTGCCTGACTGCAGTTTTTAATTTTTACCTTTGTGTTCTAGGCTGGGCCTAGTGATTTCCAGAAAAACGCCAGACACCTGGCTCATCAGGAGGGGAGGGGAGGATTTCAAGAAGCAATTACCCTAAGTCACCTGCAGATCAGTAAATGGCTGTTGCAGCCATTCCTTCTAGATCTCTCCCACGCCAGCTGCATCCACCCTAGCAAAATAACATAGCTCCTCCAACCACCTCTGCCTCCATTCATCTGGGTTTCTGATTTCAGTGACGCTCAGATGCCGCTGATGGGCATTTTTTTTAATAGATATATATATATTTTTTTCATTGAAGTATTGTCAGTTACCATGTGTCAATTTCTGGTGTACAGCACAGCGTTCCAGTCATACATATATATGTATGACTTCATTTTCACACTCTTTTTCATTAAAGGTTATTATGAGATATTGAATATAGTTCCCTGTGCTATACAGAAGACATTTATTTTTTAATCTATTTTTATATATGGTAGTTAATATTTGCATATGTTGAACTCTGATGGGCATTTTTAAAGCCACATCTGGAACCTTTGCTGCAGGAGAGTCTGACAAATGTGTTTTCAGCCTCGTAGCCTTTTGGTTAGGAAGCTGGAATAAAGGCTGAGCTGGGTCATCTACCTTGTCTGCCTTTGTGAGTAAAGAGGTCTGGAGAGTCTCAAGGCCCGATGAAATGTCCCAGCCCTTCAGCAGCAAACTCTTAAAGCAACCAGAACGCTCCCATCTACCAGAGTGTGCCTTGGACTTATGCTGGACATAACCAGCAGCGCCGTCTATGGGCGTCATCTTTATCTGGTGCATACTTTCTTTAGATGTCTAATATCCTGATTAAGAGGACAAGCTGGTTTGGATTCCCAAGGTCGCGGGCAGCCTTCTGCCTGCCTTTGGTGTATATATGCTCATAGAACAGTCCTCTCTCTCCCCGATCAGCTAGAGCTGCATGGTGTGTGGTTGGCCAGAGAACGTGGGTGCAGTGCTCCCCACTGGAGTCCTCCCAGTTGTTTTGCTGCAGGAAGAGAGAGAGCAAAAGAGACAGAACAGGAAATTCCTGTCCAGCCTCAGACACAGTCACCCCCGGCCCCAGGGCTCTCGCTCTGGGACACACAGCATCATAAGTCGCGGCAATGTGGCCCCGGCGTACTCCAAGACGTGGCGCGGCTGTACTGGGCTATCAGTGTCTTTCATGGACCCTGAAAGACACTGAAAAGTTCTTGGCTTTGTGAAATGGGGAACTAAGAAACTCCCACCCATGCCTGTAGCTCCCAGGGTTTGCACCCTTATGGGTTTTGAGGATCTGCTGGCAGCTCATTCTTTTTCACCAGGTCATTTCTTGCTTACATGGCACTCCTCTGACTTCATCAGAACTGCTCCTTCTTAAGTTCAGGACTTAGTAAAAGATGCCATTTTTTACCCTGTATGTCCGAGTTCAGGGAGGAGGAGGAAGGGAACACAGATTAGAATTGCTATATTGCTTTTTTTGTTTTCATAAGCCATCTCCTGTTGCTGGATAGACACTGAGCCAATGAATGGCAGTTACACTCCCAATTTGAAAGATGAGGAAAATGACACTCAGGGAGAGGAGACAAATTACCTGAGGCTCCAAAGACAAAAAGGGGATGAGCACAGAATAAGAGCCGTGCCAATGATTTGGCTGTCATCAGCCCTTAGGTCAGTGAGAAAATGCCATGTGTAGTAATAAAGTCACAGCGCGCTTTTCGAGGGACGCAGACGTACTTATTTTTATTGATACAATTGCAGTGTCTTATCTGGGACTCTGAAAAATAGAAACGGGTTAGAAAATGCTGGTTTCCCATCCTTGGTCCTACCTCCCCCTCACAGATACGGACCCGTCCTTCTGTAGCAGGAATAAGACAGCCCCAGCCTTCCCGCCGTACGAGCTCAGTCCTGTCGTCTCGTCCCTGCCCACCTGTCGGTGCTAAAGCACAGCGCAACTTTCAAGTCCCGCATCACAGATTCTTGTAAAACAGAATGAAAGGAAGCTGCTTTTTTACATGAAGGGCAGTAATTTTCTTAGCAGAGAAGGAAACTGAGGATTTTCTTCATTGAAAATCAATACAAATTTCAAGAACACCTGTATTTCTAATACCTAGATCAAAATGACAAAATCTGGAGGGATTATGGAAACACAAGGAAGATACTCAAAGTGGCTTAAAGAGCTTCTTCCAGGCTGGGCTCGGAAAGAGACTGTTAATAGACAGAGACCCTCTTCTCACCCGTCGTCCCTCTCCTTAGGTTGGAAAGGACCAGTGTTTCCCCAGGTGTGCGGTCCTGGTGCTTGAAGTGACTTTTGGGTAGGGCAGTGCACACGGCGCTTCCTTCAGTCTGTCCGTCCTGAATAACCCCCAGCAGTCCAGGGGCAAGAGCTGCTACAGCCTCACTAACCAGCCATCACATTCTCCAGGGTATATCCTCATCTCAGCTCATCCCGGCCCAAGTGATGGGCAGAGCAGAGAGTGGTGGCTAGAGGTCAGTCATGCAGAGCAGGGAGCAGCTGGAGTCAGCTGGGCCCCCTGGGTGGCTAGGAGTCCCACGTGGAATTCCCAGGACTTCCCACAGCTCATTCATTCAGCTGACACTTCTCCAGCACGTGTGGTGTGCTGGTGCTTCCTCTGTGAACAGAAGCAAATCCCTGCCCTCATGAAGGTGGCGTTCTGGTGGACATGAGAAATGATACACACAGAAGCAGATCCAGGTCAGGACGCATGAGTGCTGTCTATTTCGGAGCACACAAGGTGAGGTCAGCATAGGGGGTAAAGCCTGCCCTTTGGGGGAGGAACGTATGATACAGGAAAATGTGGGGGAGAGGATGGCCGTATCCCAGGTCTCAGCTGGGTCCCTGGGATGTGCCTCACCAAGTGTGGGTCCTTGGCTTCGCACAGGAAGAAATTCAAGAGCGAGCCACAGTTCAGAAAAGGTAGATTTATTCAGAGAGATACACACTGCATAGACAGAGCGCAGGCTGTCTCAGAAGGCAAGAGAAAGGCCACAAGCTTGGGGGTTGGGTGCTCCAGTTTAAAGTAAAGTAGATCTCACTCCGTAGACTGAGCGCGGGCGTCTCCCTAGAAGGGAGGGCAGCTGCGAGGCGTAGGGCGGTTAGTTTTTATGGGCTTGGTAACTTCATATGCCGACAAGTGGGAGGATTATTCCAACCACTTTGGGGCAGGGGCTGGGGTTCCCAGGAACTGGGCCACTCACCCTTTGACCTTGCATGGTCAGCCTTGGAACCGTCCTGGCACCTGTGGGAGTGCCATTTAGCATCCTGCTGTATTTCAGTGAGTGTATATTGAAGCTCAAGGTCTACTGGGAGTCAGATCTTCCACCATCTTGGTGCTAACTGCTGTGTCCTTTTAATGGCCGTGCCCGGCCCCCTTTCCTCCTGTCTCATGAAGGAGCACTGCACTGGTTTCATAGTTGCAGAGCAGGGGACAGAGTGGAAAGGACTTCATGGGTGGAGGATGGAAGGTAGTGTCAGCAGTAGAATTCTCAAGCCACTTGAAAAGTAAGGGTCTTCTGTTGGATGGGGGTGCCTAGTGTCACGCCAAGGAGCTGTGAGCCTCAGGGACTTCAGTGAGTGGGTGGCGCACTGTGTATAATGTGCTGCTTCCTAGGCGGCCTGAGGACAGTTGGCTTATAGGTGGGGCCTCTTTGGGGATTTTCTGCACATGAGGCTAACGTGGGTCACGTGGGGAGCAGGACCGGCCAGTCACGGCTTGGTCCACCGTCACCTCGTGCCCTCAAGGCTCTCAGCCCATGGATGCGTCACCTCCCCCCGGATGGGGCCAAGGGCGCAAGTGGCGGGCAGCTTCTCAGTGGTGGAGGCATTGCTCTCCAGACCCCGCGCTCAACAGCAGGGGCCCCTGGCGTTGGCTGCGGTCTTGGCAAGATGAGGCTGTGGGGTAGCTGAGCTCATGAGACGTGGGTGCCACGCGTCCATTCTCACCAAGAGCTCTATTTTTGAGGGTTTTATTTATGGTCAGGGAGCCACAAATACTCCCTTACCCATAAACAAAGAACAGGCTCTTTCAATCAGGAAAGGGCACACAGGAGGAGAAAGAGGACCATCCAGAGAGCAGGAGAAGCCAGATCAGTCCTGCCATCAGGGGTCTGACAGGCGAGCCAGCTCAGTTTCTCTTACGAGTTGTTTACTTGGAGGATCTGGGGCATTTAGGTGACCTGAGAGTGTCGGGAAATAATACCCAAGGGCTTTGTAGATTTCCCAGTCCAGCGTTAACTCATCCCACTGTAGCTGTTGTGCAAGGAGACGGAACTTGGTGGACAACAGGCCATGGCCTCTGCTCCCTGGTGGAGCCAGGAGATCACAATGTTCAGTACAACTGCAGGGGCATCATTTCTATGTCAAGAGGCCAGATGGCCTTACATAGCTCTCATACTGGATTTCAAAGTTGCAGAGGGGGACTAGATTCCGTCCAGTTCCCGAGCCAAGGAGACCAGAAATGGCCTCCCCCACTGACTGTGAGCTCTTTGCCTCCACTGGCAGTGGCATCTATAGGAAAAAGCTGGGCTGCCACCTGTGTTTCCTTGTAAACATCCGAGTAGCCACAGCAATGGCCTCCTGAGGGTTGGTGTGCCCACAGAGGCGGTGTGTGGGATGGAGGGAGGAATGCTGGGGTCAGACACCGGGAAGGCAGGCAGTGATGACATCTAAGCAGGGCAGGCGCCACGGGACCGAGCCAAGGGGAGGTTTGGAGCAGGGAGCGTGGGCAGTGCCATGTTGTTTGTAAGAAGATGAATTGGTTTGATTCCTGACCCCAACCTTAATCTTGGGCAAATGTTTGAAGCTTTCTGTGCCTCTGTTTCTTGGTGTCCCAAATGGGGACAGTAACAGCAGTGACCTCCGAGGGTCGGGAGGGCCTTTATAGATGTTATGTCATTAAGCTCACAACAGCCTACGAGGAAGGTCTTAGGTCCCCTGTTTTACACATGGCAGACAGGCTCGGAAAGCTGAAGCCTCTTAACCAGTAATCACACAGCTAAAAATGCTCAGAACCAGCATTCGAACTTGGTTACAGTGTCGATTATTTCTACTCTCACTCAGTATCGTTGGAAAATTAGTAAAGTCAGAACAGACACCGCCGGGAAGCGGGTGCTTTAAACGTGTTTGTTGTCTTCGCCACCGGGGAGTGTTGAGTCCACGTTCCTCGCAGCCCTTCCGAGGCGCCCTGCGTCTCCGGCCGCCCCTGGCGGGGTCTGCAGGGCCCCAGGCGGCTTCTCCTTGCTCTCTGCCCCAAGGCTCTCTGCATCTTATCTCCAAGGCTCTCCGGGTTGGTGCTCCACCTGGACTGCTCAGTAGGGCTAATGTCCAAAAACAAAAAAAAAGGTGGGGAGGGTATGGCTCAGTGGTAGAGCACGTGCTTAGCATGCACGAGGTCCTGGATTCAATCCCCAGTCCCTCCATTAAAATAAATAAATAAAGCTAATTACCGCCCCCCCACAAAAAAAGAGAAGTATTTAGAAAACAAGAAACAACACAAAGGCCCCCTCCACACTTCATCTCACCAGCTTGTCCACTCACACCCCAGTTAACCTCTTGAAATGGGAAGAGTTTGTGGCTCAGCC